TCTGGAATTTTTGCATGATTATAGTACATATAATAAGCTTTAACTCCATAGGTAAAACGTTTAAATTGGCTATGTGTACGATTTATGGCGGATTTCCAAAGTTAAGGTTGTAAATCTGGAAAATAGTTTTTGAACCATTGGCACCGTAACTCTTACGTACAGTCTCGAGATTTTTATGAAAGGATTTGGTTCTTTAAAGTACTTTTCTATAAATTATACTTAAATAGCTTTCTATAGGCTTTGGAACCACTCAATTTTGATTTTTCTACATTTAGTTATGAATTTTCAAAGTTGGTCAAAAATTTGGGATTTACCGAATGAACAGTATCCGCCAATTCAAGTTTTCAGATTTGATTTCTTGGTTCCTAAGCTACCATTTAAGGTCCTAATGATCATAAAATGGAGGTTAATAAGGTTTAGAGTTAAGGTATGACAAATACAATGCCTTAATTTAAGAAGGTGCCTCACTTGTTCATAGACTTGCTCCTCAGTCAAAGCAACTGAATCATAAAGGTGCTCTTGATGGCCATGAAAAGCTTTTTTTATTTTACGATGAAAGTGATATCATCTAAGAAATATCCGATGCTAAGGTAGACTGTCTTTCCTCCATGCTGAAGTTGATGATAGCATATGCCTTCTTCACAAATTGGACATATTTTGTGACCCTTGACACTGTACTTGGACAAATTTCCATATGCAGCAAAGTTATTTATAGTGCAAAATATCATAGCATATAACTTTAAATTCTCATTCCGATTTGCATCAGACACATCCACACCTACCTCCCACAGCTCTTTCAATTCTTTAATCAAAGGTCTTAAGTAAATATCAATGTCATTTTTAGGTTGTTTTGGTTCTAAAATCAATATAGATAGCATCATATATTTTCATTTCATGCATAGCCAAGGTGATATGTTATGAATCATCAAAAGAATAGGCCATGAGTTATGTAAAATGCTAAGGTTACCATAAGGATTCATTCTATTGGTAGAAAATCCAAGCCTCAGATTCCTTAGTCATTGCTAAAGTCCTATTATGCCACCTCAACTTCTTCGCATCATTAGTATTCACAAATAGGCAATTGAACTTGGTATAATTGGAAGATACCACAAGAACTTTATGGGAGCTGCTTTTTCTTTGTCCCATGGTGCCTCACATTTTAGACACTCCTCCTCCCCTTTAAGCTCTTCTCTATACAGTATACAATCATTGGGGCATGCATGTATCTTTTTAAAATTTATACCTATTGGGTATAAGATCTTCTTAGTATCACAATAACAATTTAGTAGTACATTTCCTTTTGCAAACATTATTTGGAGTAGCTCTAGCAACCGTGTAAAACTCTTGTTACTCCACCCAGCTCTTGCCTTCAAGGTAACCAATTTTAACACCCCAAATAATAGACTGAAATCAATACACCTTGGGTATAAAGGCATTTTCGCATCAGTGCACAAGTTATCATATGCATGTGCTCATTCAAAGGCCTCTTCACTAACATTACAGATCATGTACTCTAGTCAATCTTCATCCATATCTACTTCATCACTAAGATTATGATCAACTTCTACATATTGAAATGTACCACTAAAAGTTTCTAATGTTCACCATACCACCAAATTCATACCGTATAATTCTTACAAATACTATCGCAAATCAAATGTTCTCTTATTTTGACAACACTTAGTCTCCTCTCATTCGAGCAATTTACACAAGGACAATAGAACTTTTCACTATTGTCAACAACATTTTTCTTAACAAATTTCAAAAACTCTTTCACCCCATTATCGTACTCATCACTCGTTCATCTAGTATTCATCCAATTACGATCCATATGTCACTATCTAAAGGAGAATAAAACTAATGTTCATGGTTTCGTCTTCAAACTATTTCAAAAATGTAAATTTCTAGTTAATATAATATTTTAAGTAATTTAGGGAAAAGAATAAATTTAAAAAAAATTTGGCAGAGTCTCCCCTAAAAATTAAACCTCCCAAAATTTTTAAAAAAATTTACAAGAGAAATTTCATGATTTTACATCAAATAAATAATCACATGCAACAACCTAAGGTTTTATGAACCCACTAACAACATTTCCAACAACAATCAATATCAATAACAACTAAATTTGAAGCAATTTAGGAGAAAGAACAACATTCACAAAATTTTGGCATAATTTTTCGTAAAAATTAGACTTCATTCTAACAAATTTTATAAGCAAAAAAATAATAGTTTTATACCTTCACTCCTTCAAACAACAACAATTTGATCATACATGAAACATTCTAACTAAGGCTAATATAATTGAAATCAAAATAAATTAAACTAAAATTAGAAGTGAAATTGAAATCAAAATATAATTAATAAATATAAATTAAAAATAAAAAATAGAATGGTACCTGGAGCTCAGAAATAGTGAGGAAAAAGGAGGAGCAGGATGGAGGAGTTAGGGAGACGAGGGGGAGGGAAGGGGCAATGTGGAAGGGGTGAAATGGGAGGGGGGCTGAGTGAGTGGGGGGTGAGGGGAAGGCTGAAGGAGGAGGGGAGGGGTGGCAGTGTAGGAGAGAAGCCAACCAAGGGTGTGATAAGGTGAGGCGAAGGGGTGGAGGAGGAGGCTCACGATTGGAGTAGGAGGTGATGAGGTGAGGCGATGGTAGATGGGAAGATGAGGCAACGAGGCTATAGTGGTTTGGAGGGTTCAACTATGAGTGATGAGGTGATGGTGGGGCTGTGAAGATGAAGAAGATGAGAACGCTGTAAATGATGAGATAATGGTGGGGGCAGTGAAGTAGAAGAAGATAAGAATTGAAAGGGGCCAAGAGGAGGGGCATTTAAACAATTTTCAACATTAGGTGCCTTGGCATCCAATGTTGAAACATACTTTTAACATCCGGTGCTAAGGCACCCAATGTTAAAAATTATATTTTTTTTATTTTTTGGATAAACTAAGTTTCAATATTGTGTGCCTTGGCACTCGATGTTAAAAATATTTAATTTTTTTGTTATTTAAAAAACATACAACATCGAGTAAATATATACCCAATGTTGTAAGTCTTTTTAACAACAAGTAACTTTTTACCCGTTGTTAAAAGTCCTCCAGACATGCCGAATATTACAAAATTTCCACCGCCTTTATTTTCTACAGTGTTTACCTTTGAAACGTTTTTAAAAGTCCCTTGTAAATGCCAATTTGTGCACTAGCATCATGCCCTTCAAATTGTGTCAAGTGTGCCAGAGGAGCTATATATTTCCTTGAATGAGTTAGTGATTAGTGATTATGAGTTCTCAAAGTCCTTTACCACAATTTTCTTAAAGAGCCAAAGAGAATTTAGAGTCTAGGCAATGAAATTGTGCATAAAGAAATGATATTTTATTCAGAGGGAAAAGCAAAGTAAAGAGCTAGAAGGTCTAAACTAGAAGAAAAGGATCATGTTGGGTGAGTTTGTGAATAATGGAGGGTCACATAGTTTTGGTTGATGCGGTCTAGCTTGTGTAAGGTATTGAAGAGAGACCCTCTCAGTTACGTGCTTGTTGCCTTTTATACAGATAGGTGACAGTGTTTCAATTCAAATTTGAATTTTGTCTACCAACCAGAGTCATAACAGTCTATGCTTGATTGTGAATAACGAGGCACCCTAATGAGGGCTCGTGCTGGGGTGTGTTCTCTGAACCTTGTAGGGTATAAATGAGAGAAATATGAATGGAGTAAGTATGAAATAACTAAAATAATCATTTAGAATAACAAGAGCGCATAACTTATAAATCAAGTAATTTCATTCAAACACTAAAAAAAAATAAATCATATATTGATAACAGGACAATTAAAATTCACTTTCTAACTATCACATTCAAGTCAAATAGTTAGGAATTTTATAGCTCACTATAAAAAAACTCATTAATGAAAATTAGCTACCTTAAAAGAATTCACTACTATAAAAGTGGCTTATGAAATTGCTCATTTCAAAGTGCTTATGTAAAACTCACTCTAAAAAATAAATGTGAAACTTTTTGAAGTGCTTATTATATAAAGCGCTTCGAATATGCATTTTACAGGAGTGCTTTGTCAAAAGAAAAAAAGTGCTCCACCATCCATTAAATTTTTTATTTTTAATTAATTTTGTTTAGAAATAGATTTTTGCAGCGCTCCTTGCAAAATCACTCTGAAACGTGTATATAAAATATAATTTAAAATTTTGTATAGACATTTCAGAGCGCTTGTAAGGGAAGAGCTCTAAAAAGTTTATAGAATCTTAATGGGAGAATGACAATTAAGGACCTGTTAAGAACATTAATCCCAATTACAGATCGTGAAATTTTGAAATCAAAGTTAAAGACCATGGTCCTTAATTGTGATAAAAAAAAATATAATTTGTGAGGTGGGATTCACTAACGCGACTTGGGAATTCATTAACCCAACTTGAGGAAATTACTAACGTATATTGTAAAAATATGAAACCCCACTTAAAAATGGAATATTTAACAAAAAGCGCCATTTGGAAATTCACTAACTAAACTTAAAAAAATTTCTAACGTATATTGTGAAAAAATGAAACCCCACTTGAGAATCATTAATAAAAGGTGACTTATCCAAATTAGTGTTTTTTTATTAAACAATTGATTCTCAAGTGAAGTTTCATGTTTTCACAATATACGTTAAAAATTTTTTCAAGTCGAGTTAGTAAATTCTCAAGTGGTGCTTTTTATTAAACATTCAATTTTCAAGTGGGGTTTCATGCTTTCACAATATACGTTACAAATTTTTTTAAGTTGGGTTAGTGAATTCCCAAGTGGCAATAATGAATCTCACCTCACAAATTATATTTTTTTAATCACAATTAAGGAACATGATCCTTAACTGGGATTTCAAAATTTTACGATCTATAATTGAGATTAATATTCTTAATAAATCCTTAATTATCATTCTCCCAATCTTAATTAATTATTATTATTTTTCTTTTTTGAAAAATCAAACTTCTGGAGCACTCTAATGGCGAGCGCTCCGAAGGGTCTAGTTAAAAAAAATTTCCCTAGCTCAATTCATTTGCTCTCTTCTAGATAGTCAGTGTTACGCATTCTCTCCCAAGGCTTGATAAGTCATCGTTTGTAGCTGCGCCCAGTCTGCCAGATCTTGCCATGGACAGAAAATTTTTCCTTCTGCATACGTGTTCTTGCCGTCTAGCTACGAGTTTGTCTGTGTTGCTACTGTTTGACATCATGCGTCGTTATGCGTGGGTCCGATGATCTCTGTTTACTAGCTGAGGTCCGTCTCTATTAACGGTGCGCCATCTCCCACAACCTTATTGCCTCACCTTCCCAGATCTATGCTCATTGTCTCCCATAGCCACATCACCTCACCTTCTCTGATCCATGCTCATCTTGCCCGACTCCTTACATTTCATGCTTTCATTTCGCTGTAAGGTATTTGAAATCATGGGTTTTTGTTTGGGTTTTGAAAAGTTGAAAAAAATGAAATGATAGATTTTAGGTTTATAATGGTTTATACATGGAAATTGAGATGAGATCGGGATATTGATGAGTGTGATGCTGTGTCTGTGAGTCTGCATAAGTTTGTGGGTGGTTCTGGTTCTCCTAGTGTGCTCTTGATAAGGAAGGCCCTTTATAGGTTGGGATCTTCATTGCCATTTGCAGAGTTGGAATCGTGAGCTCGTCAATGGCTTTAATGAAATGGTAAATCACAAAAATTTTAAATAAAAGTAGGTGTGGAGGTATGATTATCTAAGATATGTGAATTTGGACTGTTTAATTATAAAACTTAGAATTTTTTCCATTCTTTAAAAGAAACAAATTTTATTATTGTTATGATTACTATTGGGCTTCAGTTTGTATTCCACTTTGGTTGTTTTTTTTTTTTTTTGAAGATATTATTCAGTGACCATATCCCTGTTCATTCCATGATTGTTATAGTTTATGCACTGTGTTGCATTGGTATGTTAGGATTTATATATCCTAAGCTCGTCAATATTGTAGTTTTCTGCTAACTTGTTCTACTAAATTAATTTACATATGAGATTCTTATGCCTGGAAGAAAAGCTTGCAAATTGTCATAGTTGAAATAATTACTATTCATAATATTCTCCATTTTCTATCTCATATTATGGATTCTAGTAATGTTATTTCATGCAGTGATATAATAACAAAATCGTGATAGCGAAAGAGTTCCAACTTCTACTCTGCTGAGTATTGTGCTTAAACGCACGCGCGCGCGCACACACTTTTCCTAATATCTAGCAGATTCCATTACTGAGTATTGTTCTAAAAAGTCTACTTGTAATGTTCTTATGGAAACTTTAGACCGTGAGCACTTGATAAGTATATATAGCAGTGGAGCATTTGATAATATAGGTACTACTAGCATGCAATTTTCATTAAGTTGTCAAAGTTTGCTTAAATTTTAACCATTATTCTTTTATATATTATATACAATTTTAATATTAATGTTCCTTGCCGCATCAAACTTTTTTCACTATGTACTCTTGTAGGATTGGTGGTACTTCTGTTGGTTAACTATGGTGGTAGGGATGCTTCGGAAAGAAATTCAATAGATTCATTTACAATATCCAATGTTAGTATAGGATCTGACAAGTGAGAATGTCTTGGCATCAAACGGTGGTAGCTAATAATATCTTCTGTACTTTTAATGAGATTCTCTGATGAATTGTTTAGAACTTAACCTCACTTTAATGGCTTGACATGAGATGTAACTTCATTACTTAAGCTTATAAGTTGAAGCAGTTATTGACATGATACTAAAGCTTATATCACTAAGTGATGAAGGGACGAATCCTTGATATTGCTCACTGGTGAACTACTTTATTTGGCTGTTTGTCACTTATTCGAAATATTTGTTTATGATATTTTCTTTCTGTTGTAGGATAATACCTGAGTTTGCACACTCAGCAGATGACAAGGCTACTCAATATTTTAACATCAAACTCTAGCGCATCCCTATTAACAAATTAAAAGATTTCAAGCAGATCCAAAAGCAATTCAACATCATATTAACAAAAATACCATCTTGGTATTAAGTTACTTGATGAGATACAGTCACTTTTCTGTTGATTTCTCATGCATGTTTTGGAGTTATGCCTTTTTTATTTAAATTTAAAATTTTATTAAGTGGCTTGGGTTTTGTGTTAACAAAGCTCCTGACAACTCAATTTTCTTGTGCTTAAGCTTAAAACCTCCTTTTGCTTGATATTTCATATTGTTGGTTCTACCCCTGGATTTTCATATGGAATAATTGATCCCATTGTACTAAGTTTTCTGTTTTTCTTTTAATGCTGAAAACATTTTTTATGTTCAAATTGCTTGATCAGATATATAATATTGTAAATGTGCCCCTTTCTTCTATAAGAACTTTGTAACTTGGCATCAAGCTTTGGAATTTGCTTTCATGTTGACCTCTTCTTAGTGGCTTTATATTACCTTTTGCTCGCAAAGCTTGTGTACGGTCAATAATCCAGCATAAGTTTTGTACGTTAGTTTTTCATCTAGATGCTATTGTTGTCATGTTATGTATATAGGGCTTTCATTTTTTATATGGGGGAAATCATATTAGGTGCTATCTTTTCATATTTAAATTATGACATTTGAACCTAATTCTTCAGTCACTAATAAAACTGGAGCTTTAGTGAAGCCTTTGTATACAAAGGATTGAGTTAATGTTTTTCTCCTTTGAAGAAGTTCTTACGTTTTTGCTGGTCAGTTTTACTGGTTGATAGCCTCTAATAATCTAAATGTTTTAAGAGCAAGTTTCATTACTATGAAACTGAATTTAGCAAACATAGAAAATGCTGAGCTAATGGCATGTGCTTGTCATCCCTTTGATCCCTTTAAATTCTAGTTTCCGCAAACCAAATTTAGTTTTTTTTTTTTTTTTTTTGTTGTCGGCCAAACATACCAAATTTAGTTAACTTGTCTCTTCTGTGGGCTTTTCTTCATCCTTGTTAATTGTTTATGCTTGTTATTTGCAAGAGAGGAAATATATGAGCATCAGTGAAAACTCCAAAACCGTTCTAGACAATATAAATAATATTTATTTGAGGAGGTGAAGACATATGCCTATTGTTGTATTTATTCTTCATCCTTGTTAATTGTTTATGCTTGTTATTTGAACATGATATTCCAATTGGTTTTGAATTGTAAATCTCTTTCATTCTTTGTATGTATGATTTGTATTATTGGCCTTGCAAATTTCAGTTCATAGTTTGAGGCTTTGAAAGAGAAACTTATTCAAGATACTGTCCTACTGATATGATTATTCATGTTTATAGATATGATTTATTTCATGGAGATATCTTGAGTATAATACAAAACTAGTGCTTAGTGGCTGCTCTTGTGCATATAGTTATAGAAAAACATTACTTGATGTTAATTACTGTACTAGTTTCTCTTTTTGGTTTATGTAATCTAAACTTTTTTTTTTTTTTTTGCAGATTGGTAATATTTTAGAAAGCACTATTTACCTTTTAAACAATCTTTTTTTCTTATAATGTAATGTTTAGAAGATTAGATTATATTAATCATTTTTGTATTAATTTTGATGTCAAAGTAGTTGATTGAGATTACCAAACCCCGAAAACATTGTACGTTTTTACGTTTAAATGAAAGTATATTTTTCAATTTGTTATGGTATTTAACTTTGCCATATTGTATGTAAATTTACGAAGCACGTACGTGATAAAATATTTTTTAAAAAAACATTAGTCTAAGGGAACGCTTCTAAGCAAAAGTGCTCTCATAGGGTACTTATATTGGAGCGCTTATGCTTAGAAGCATTCTTGTATTTATGAGAGCGTTTTTGCTTAGAAGCACTCTTGTATGATGACCTTATTGGAATGCTTCTTTATTAAAAGCTAAAAAAGTGCTTTCATAAGAGGAGCTTACGAGAGCGCTTCCTTAAAAAGCACTGTAGGACACCTTACTTGAGCGCTCTCATATTATATAGGAGTGCTAGTTGAAGTGCTTCCATAGGCAAAAAATGAGCACTCCAAAATGTATATTTTGTAGTAGTGATTAATTTTAAAAAATAGCAGTGTCAAAATATTTTATAGCAAGAATTTATCGGAATGCATAATAAGTGTGGACGTGTATAATCCATGAGAGTAAGTAGGCAACACACATGGACACATAGTTTATTCATTTAGGACTCATTTTACATGTTATATTTTTCATCTTGGTGCATCCATGATCTTAAGAGCAAGAAAATTGTCTAAAGGGTAAAGTTATGCACTACAGGCATTTTGGTCAAGAAATGTATTTTTTATGAAAATTTGGGGTTAATTTTGGATTTAATGTTTTTTATCTTGAGGAGAATGAATTTGAAATTATTTTTTGAAAATTCAATGTTATTTGGGAGATTTGAATTAAAAATAACAAAATTAGAATTGTTGACTTTGTTAACTTAATTAGGTTTTTTTGCATGTATGTGTGTATTGGTTTTCACGTGTGGCAGCCTTTAAATTTTATTTTATTATTTATATCTCATTTAAATAATTAATTTCATATTTCTAAATTTGAATTATTATGTTACATGTATTTATTTGATTAATTTTGTTCATTATGTGACATAGGTGACACGTGTATTCGGACTTATATCAATTGGTCCTCAAGGAAGTGCAAGAAGAGCATTTTGGACATAAGTGGCATGCAAATGGCTAGGAGGATGGAGTAGATTAGATTTCCTAAATGCAAAGCATGACAATATTCATAGTAGCTGAAACGGACAAAAGAAAAAACTTAATGCACGAGAGTTACAGAAATGAAGCCAAAATGTGTTTCGTTACCCCTTCATTAAGCCAATAAAATGTCTAGCATTTATATTTGTAACGTTTTAGCTAATTGCCTGTTTTCATTTAGAGTCTTAACACTATAATTAGGACTCGCTTTGTTGTAAGAGAGCTCAGACGAGAAATAAAAATTCAAAGTTTTCTCTTTTCATTCTGTTTCTGTGCCATTTTGGTATAAGAGTTGGTCCAGAGAGCGAGAGAGTGAGTTACAGTTGAGAAAATATGTCGGAGAGAAGAGAGATTTAGTGGAAGAGTCGCTGACGTCTTCGCATTTTGCAATTCAGGTGTTTTCTTGGAAAAATAACATCACTATCGTGCTCAAGAGGTTCGAAAACGTGGAACAGGAGGTTCCCCGTCACTGGAAACCAACCCATATGCCGTCACGTGCCATCGTTGGAAGTCCATGCGCCTTGCCGCTGATCCACGCGTCGTCTTGCGCCATCTGAAGGTTGAAGACACTGACGTCATCTGCCACGTCATCGATTTTGATCGGTCAACAAAAGGTCAGACTAATAGTACTCTGCCACATGTCATTGTCGCCACGTCACTATACCCAGTCAGCCAATTTTTTAGAAAATACATTTTTGCCCCAAATCTTTCAGTAATTTCATATTTTTCCTTAATTTTTATGAAATTTCATATTGACCCAATATTTTCCTAAATCCCATTTTGACCCCTAAACTTTTCTAAAATTACACTTTTTGCCCCTTTATTTTACCTGAATCCCATTAAACCCCTATATTTTTCATAAATTGCAATTTAACCCCCTCATTCTTCCAGAATCTCCATTTTACCCTTAGACTGTCCAAAGTTCCCATTTTATCCCTAGCCTTTCCAAAAATCCCATTCTACCCCTATATCCTTCAACGTTTCCATCTGCACCCCAATCTTTCCCATATCCTTAGCCTTGACACCTATCCAAAATGCCTCCAAGACGTAGACATGTGCACGAGATTGAGATGGAAGAGATGAGACGAAGGATACGAGAGTTGGAAGCCACTGTGAAATTGCAGCGAACTTTGTTAAATAACAACAGAGAAAACTTAGAGGGAGATTCGGTAAGCAGCAGTTCGTCATCCACTGACAACCACCGTGGTCCGCGACAACAACAATTCCGCCCTAATGATATCAAGGTCGACATTCCTAAATTTGAGGGAAGACTCCAGCCAGACGAGTTTGTAGATTTGCTGCAAATTGTTGAATGAGTATTTGAATACAAGGAGATTCCAGATGCACAAAAGTTAAAATTGTTGCCTTCAAACTTAAGAAACATGCTTTTATTTGGTGGGAAAACCTCAGACAGAAGCGAGAACGAGAGGAAAAGTGCAAGATTGAGACCTGGGAGAAAATGAAAGGCCAGCTCATCAGGAAATTTCTGCCAGATCATTACCACCAGGATAATTTTAACCAGCTACAAAATCTTTATAGAGATCTTTATCTGTAGAAGAGTATACTAGGGAGTTTGAACAACTCACGATGAAGTGTGACATTCAATAGAAGGAGGAGCAAACAATAGCCCGGTACTTTGCAGGCTTAAACACAGATATCAGTCGTCTAGTCCAGCTTCAGCAATATTGGACCTTAGATGATGTCATCCGTCTAGCCATGCATGTTGAGAAGCAGATGCCTAAGAGATTCACTTTCCAACCTTCATCCTCTAGGGGTTATCCATAAGGCTGTAAGGTGGAATTTTAGCAGACCAACTCCTCAAGCAAGCCACAACCTACTGCTATGCACAAACCACCATCCAATGCTACCAAGGAATCTGGTTCTAAAGCAGTCAAATGCTTTAAATGCCAAGGATTTGGCCACATTGCTGCGGACTGTCCTACTCGAAGGGTTGTCACCATTCGAGAAGGATTAGGGTATGAAGCACTTAAAGAAGATGAGGAGGACGCTGAGTTCTACGGCACTAATCCCGTATATGACGAGGAGATTACACCTGTTGATCAAGGAGAAGCATTAGTGCTTAGATGAAGTCTGCATACAACAATAGTCAAAGAAGAACCTTGGCTACGAAGCAAAATTTTTCACACTTGTTGCATGGCCCAAGGAAAAGTTTGTAATGTCATCATTGACAGTGGAAGCTGTGAAAATGTAGTATCTGACTACATGGTGGAGAAAGTGAAGTTGCCAGCACAAGATCATCCACAACCTTACAAGCTTCACTGGCTCAACAAAGGGAATGAGGTAAAAGTTTTATGTGATGTTGTTTCCATGGATGCATGCCACCTTCTCTTAGGGAGGCCATAGCAATATGACCGACATGCTATACACATCGGGCGAGCAAACACCTATTCTTTTATGAAAGATGGTGTCAAGTTCACACTAGCGCCTCCACTACCCAGTGAGATTAGCCAATCTTCAAGGGAATCTAGTGTCTCGAAGCCGTTAGTGTCTTTGATGACTAAGGAGGAATTCAAGGTGTTGAAATCTGAAGCCCAAATGATGAGCTTTATTCTGGTGCTTGAGGTGAACAATGAGACGGCCAATCCACCTAGAGTCATTCTGCTATTATCAGAATTTTCAGATGTAATATCTGATAAGATACCACCTGGGTTTCCTCCCATGCGAGACATACAACACACCATTGACTTCGTTCTAGGGGCAGTCCTAATAAGCCTGCTTACAAGATGAGTCCCCAAGAACATGCCGAAGTCCAACGGCAAGTTGAAGAGTTGTTGAAGAAAGGGTTGGTTCGAGAAAGTATTAGCCCTTGTGCTGTACCTGTTCTTCTAGTACCTAAGAAGGATGGAAGTTGGAGAATGTGCATTGACTGTCGAGCCATCAACAAGATCACTATTAAGTATCGGTTTCTGATACCTCGGCTTGATGATATGCTAGACCAGTTGCATGGTGCCACTACTTTCTCCAAAATTGACCTTCGTAGTAGGTACCATCAAATCAGAATTCAGCCAGGAGATGAGTAGAAGACCACTTTCAAGACCAGAGATAGCTTATATGAGTGGAATGTGATGCTTTTTGGGTTAACAAATGCCCCTAGCACATTTATGTGCCTGATGAATCAGGTATTCAGACCCTTCATTGGTAAATTTATTGTTGTGTACTTTGACGATATTCTTATTTTCAGTAAGAATCGAGAGGAGCATTTAGATCACTTGCGGCAAGTTTTGCAAACCTTGCGTGAACAGAAGCTTTATGCAAATCTCAAGAAGTGCACCTTCCTCACCAGCGAAGTTGTGTTCTTGGGTTACATCATTATCGCAAAGGGTGTTCGCATTGATCCAAGCAAAGTTGCAGCCATTGACAGCTGGCCAATTCCAAAATCTATCCAGGAGGTTCGAAGCTTCCACAGATTAGCTTCTTTCTACAGGAGGTTCATCCATAATTTTAGCTCAATTGCTGCACTACTTACAGATTGCACCAAAGGAGAGAAGTTTCAGTGGACAGAGCAAGCTCAGAAAAGCTTTGAGGAGCTTAAGAAGAAGTTGACTGAAGCTCCAATCCTCGCTATTCCTAACTTTGACCGAGTGTTTAAAGTTAGCTGTGATGCTTTTAACACCGGCATTAGTGCTGTCTTAAGCCAGAAGGGCCATCCCATTGGTTTTTTTAGTGAGAAGCTCAATGATGCCAAGTTTAGATATTCTACCTATGATAAGGAATTTTATGCCATTTTTTGATCTCTCATTAGAGTCATTATCTCCTGAATAAAGAGTTCATACTTTTTTCTGATCATGAGGCTCTCAAGTATTTGAACTCCTAACAGAAGATCAGTCGCAAACATGCTTGTGGGAGTGAACTCTTACAGTCTTATCCATTCCTTATCAAACATAAGGCTGGAACTCTGAACTTCATAGCTGATGCCCTTAGTCGTTGCCATGTGCTTACTTACAACACTACAAACCAAGGTTGTTGGATTTGACCTTATTAAAGAGTTGTATCAGCATGATCCTGATTTTTGAGGAGTGTGGGAAGCAACTGTAAATCAACCTTTCTACCAGTTCTACAGACACGACGGGTTTTTATTTTGAGGTAAAACCCTTTGTATTCCACAAGGTTCCTTAAGAGAAGCCATAATTTGGGAAGCACATGACGGTGGATTAGCTGGACATTTTGGACGGGATAAAATAGTTGACCTGGTGAAGGAGAACTTTTACTGGCCTCGAATTGAACGGGATGTCAACAGGCATATACAAAGATGCAGAATTTATCACTTGGCTAAATCCAAGGGTCAAAATACCGAACTATACATGCCTTTGCCAATTCCAGAAGCACCTTGGGAAGATATAACTATGGATTTTGTTCTGGGTTTACCATAGACTCAGAGGCAAAAAGATTCTATCATGGTAGTTGTGGATCGTTTTTAAAAAATGGCCCATTTCATCCCATGCTAGAAGACCAACGATGCTGTTCAAGTAGTTGACTTGTACTTTAAGGAGATTGTGCATCTTCATGGCATTCTTAAAACTATCACTTCTGACCATGATATGAAGTTTCTTAGCCACTTTTGGTAGACGTTATGGAAGAAGACGGGAACTAAGCTCTAGTTTAGCAGCGCTAGTCATCCCCAGACAGACGGTTAAACTGAAGCTATAAATAGGATTCTTGGTAATCTTCTTCACAGCTTTGTGGGGAAGAATTTAAAGTAGTGGGATCTTATTCTTGCTCAAGTTGAGTTTGCTTATAATAACTCTGTCAATCAAACAACTGGGAAGTGTCCATTTGAAGTTGTTTATAGCACTCGTCCCCTTAGTCCACTAGACTTGAGCCCTTCACTTGATAAGCAGCAATATAGCTTTGATGCTGACCAAAGGCCTAAGGAAATTAAGAAGTTGCATGAGCAAGTCCGCAAGCGAATCCAAAAGCAAAATTTGAGATACAAGGCTCAACGTGACAAGCATCAAAGACAGTAGACTTTTAAGTTAGGAGACTTAGTTTGGATACATCTATGAAAGAAACAATTTCCTAAACAGCCAAACGTCAAGTTATTCCTAAGAGCTGATGGTCCATTCAAGATAGTGCAAAGGATCAACAATAATGCTTACAAAGTGGAATTACCTAGTTCTTATGGTGTATTTGCCACCTTCAATATTGCTGATCTATCCCCTTACATTGACGATAATGCCGAATTTGACTCGAGGGCAAGTTTTGCTAAACCTGGGAAGGATGAAACGGATTGAAACAGACAAA